AGTACAAGCTCTCAGAAGTTTGAGAAGATTGAGCAATTCATGGATGTGGCAATCTCCAAGTTTACCTCGGTTGAGGCGGTACTCCTAAGTCATCAAGGTCTCCAGAATTTGGAAGTGCAAATCGGCAATCTTGCCGGGATACTCACCGAGAGACCAAAGGGAGCCCTACCTTCTTAAACAATTGCAAACTCCAAGGATCATGCCGGGGTGAATGCAATTCAATTGCGAAGTGGGAAGGTGACTCCGGAGGTCGTTGCAAAAGGAGTGAACCAGAAGGAAGACACCCGACAAGAGGGTGGAGAAGAAGAAACCTCGGGAGAAAAGAGAGGAGTGGCGAGGAATGCATCGCCAATGCCACCTCCAGTGGCAGAGTACACACCACCCCTACCTTTTCCCACGAGGGTGCACAAGAAAAGATTGGAAGCGGAATGTGGAAGTTTCACGGAGATTGTCACGAATCAAAATGTCGTGACCGTGTTGATCGTCTGAAGAACGCTGTCATCTGGTTGTCTTGCCATGAGAAGGGTAAAGGGGGCGACATTAGCGATAAGGCGTTGTCTGCCTGTGCATCGCATTTGGCTGAGTCATGATGTGGCTATGAAGGGGATCGTTGCTAGAGAAGACACTACTGGTCGGAGACTATTGTTGTCTCCCTGATGAGCCCAAGGCAGGGCAAAACCAGTTGGCATGCGTATGCAGAGAGGCTGGTCTTGAGGAATGAGTGCACCTCAAGACGTCGCACTGACTTCGTAAGTCTATGTCCTTGACAAGATGCTCAGGAAACTCCACCTCAACATTCCCATCCTTGAAGCAATGGCCCACATGCCAAGGTATTCCAAATACCTCAAGGGGCTTCTCTCCAAGAAGACGAAGTTCCATGACCTCGCCAATGTCACCCTAGGCGAGGAGTGCTCAGCCTTCATCCTCAACAGGTTGCTCAAAAAGCAACTCGATCCAAGTAGTTTCACCATTCTTCTTTGCATCGGTACTCCTCACATAGAAAATTCCTTGATGGACTTAGGGGCGAGCATAAATGTGATGACATTTAAGCTTTTTAAGAGGCTAGAACAAAGTGAACTAAAGACTACTAGGCTTAGTGTCACATTGGCCGATCGATCTATCATTAGTCCTAGGGGCATTGTGGAGGAGGTGTTAGTACGAGTGGGAAAATTATGTTATCCGACGGGGGAAGCAACTCCCGAGTGAAGCTTCTCACCAAGAGTTATCCACCCTTTTGCTTTCCAAGTCTTGCTTTTAAATAGTAGATTGTAGAGATTTTAACAAACAACATTCCGCTAGATAATGTTTCAAACAATTGAAGTAGGGGTACATAGGCCGGCCCGGGTTGATATTTAAACATACTTGCCCTATATTGCACCCATTTAAGGTTTAAACTTGGGCCTTAGGTGGAATTTTATTGTGATATTCGGAGCGAGTCAGGCGTTGAATGTAGAAGTCCTATGAAATTATATAGGGACAACACTAGTGCGATAAAGACTGTCATTCATCCAGTATTGCATGACCAAACCATGCACATTGAGATACATGTTCATTATATCAGACGACTAGCAGCAGAAGGAGTGGTACAAATTGGCTATCTATATATAGAAGATCATACTGCAGACTTACTTACAAAGGCTGTAGTATTAAGCAGACATTGGTACTTGTCATCCAAATTGATGGTGAGAATCACATATCAATTTGAGGGAGGGTGTTAATTTAGATAGATAGATTACCACTTTGTAAATAGCCGCATAAGTTGTCAGATAATTAAGTTAATCTAGGTCCCGATATATAAGGTTATACGCGCCTAATCTCTGTAATAAGTAGTGTTGTTAAAACCGAACCGAGCCGGTCGGTCGGACCGATAAAATCGTCACCCAGACACAAATCTGGTTCGGAACCCTCTAATAGCCGCAACGGTAAGTAAAACCGGTTTTTGAGCGGCCGAAATGGTTAACCATTCGAGCTGCTCGAACCGTCCGACCGGTTTTTGGTTTTCCGACCGTTTGGTTGCCGGCGAACCCATGCCTTTCGCGCGAAAATCGAAGAGTAGCAGTGGGTGTTCCTCCCGACGGCGACATCGGCGAGGGTTTCCTTTAAAACAGGGAAAAAGCGTCGCTGAATCGGTCTAAGTCCTCCATCCCCTTCAGTTAATGGTCATCACTGTAGGGGTGAGAGGCCGATTAAGTGTTTGGTAATTGAGTTCGGGTATTGAGAGATGAGAGAGAGATGGAAGAGATAAAGAGGGGTGAGCGGCGCTGAGGGAGGGTGGGTGGGGGTGGGATTAGGGTTTATTATTTAGTTGCAATGTATATTGCAATGGGAGAGGGTGGCGCATGAGAAGGTGGGTAGTAGGGTTTCTGATGGTGCTTTACATATATATTGTCAAATTAGTAAATGATACCTGCAAAGCAAATTTTATTTTAGTCATAAAATTGTTAAATTATTACTTTATATGTCTTCTACTTATGATTTTATTGTTTATAAGATATTGGTTCTCTAACGGTTTTTTATCGGTCTAATACCGGTTGGACCACTAAAGTATGAGCCGTTCACAATACCGGGTCAAGCTCGGGTTCGGTTCTGACAACTGGGGATGGCTATACGGTCCGGTCCGGTTAAATTGGACCAAATTGGTCCAGTCCCAGTCCGGTCTTTTTCGGGAATATAAGGACCAAAGATTGGATTGGATACCGTCCGGTCTTGACCCGGTTCAGTCCCAATTTTATCTTGATTGTAGGTGTTTGGGTCTCTTATCCGGTATTTATCCAGTTTTTTACCTCAAATCTAAACCCGAATATGAGATTGCATTGTTTGCTATCCGGTCCCAGTCCGGTCCCGATCCGGATTATACGGTCCGGTTTCGGGTAAAACCAAACTGTCCGGACCAAATAGCCGGCCCTACTGACAACATTGGTAATAAGCAAGCAAGCCGTTTTGTAGTGGAACACTTTGGAGACCACAGCTAGTCCGGATCTTTAGGATACCATGTCAAATCCGTTGTGTTCTTTCGATTTGCTCGTACTTATTGACATTACCTTGATTCACCGTCTATGCTACTTCTCCGGTCAATCGAGGAGCGTGAAGGAGAGACCGGCCTTCTTCTCTTCTTCAGAGCGGACAGAGACGAACAAGGACAGCGCCACCCTTTCTCTCCAACAGAGCTAGGAACGTTCGAGACAAGGGATTAGAGAGAGGGTCGGCGGGTTCAGGATTCGTTTATGGTAAGTGATGTGCAGGGAACGACAGAACGATGGTAGACGAGCAGATTTTGGGTTCATTTCGGCCAGGGAAGTGGCACATGGGAGGTGGCCAGGGATTTGATTTTGAAGTTAAATTATTTGCCTCAGTTCATAGTATTTGTAGCTTTCTGAATGTTTTTTGCCCTTTCAAAGGTTAAATGATTTGTGCCTTTGGGGTGGTGGTTGAATTTGTTCCTACTGAGTTCGAAAGGATTGTGGTTTGAGAGTTCAACCACTTTTAAACTTCTGATTTACTGATCAATATCGAAGAGTTTGAATTGGTTACTTATAGTCTGATGTTTACTTATGTCCTTTACAACCACACCACACACAACTGGGAAAGCTTGAGCCATTATTCTGGGTTTTGATGGTTAGATTATGATGAAGAGGGCATCAACAATTGGTGTTTTATCCCTCTCTCTCTGTATATAAGATCACAACTGCTGTAACAATCCTCATTACTGAATAAATCAAAATTTACTTGGTTTCTGGCTATGTGATGATATGTGTAATGTTTGAATTATGTTGTAATTGATCTTGCAGGAACCAAATGCAAAATCATTGAACATTCCATGTATGAAGACGTAGGTGACAAGATAGATACATTTGTTTATGTTGAATCCATTGGAGAATGATGGTTCTCCATATCAGGTAATATTTGTGCCCTTTATGTCCACTTTTGTTGATTGTCGTGAATGTGATTATTATTTTGTGTTTTGACACCAACTTGAACATCAACTTTCAATTCACAGTGTTTAATTTTCTTAAGATTCTTTGTTGATGTTCCTGCCCAATTATACCATGTACTACAATTCTCTCAACCAAAAATGATTATGTTCTCTCTCCTTCCTGGCCAGATTTCTAATACTAAATCTGCTTATTGGCTTCTGCGATTATTTTATACCTAAACTGATAATTGAAGTTTGCTTAGCTTCAGTTTTCTGTCATTCACACTCCCTGTTGTTTGTATTAGGGGGCATTGAGGAAGCTAGGGAAAGAAGCATGTTCATTGTGACATTGCATGATTTGTCAACTTTTGCACACTCAGCAGATTTGGTTTGCCTTTCTTCATCCCCTTATTTGTCCAGTTGTTGAGAAATAGTAGTACATAAGCTTGAGTTTACTGACCTCTATTGAATGGTTCTTTATTCAACTCACCATGATTTGATAATTGTTTAAATCGGTCTGTTATTTATTGCAGGTTTTCATCTTGAACTTGGAAAAACTATTGGAAACCAGCAGTAGAAGCTGCGTGCAGCTCCATCGACTCAAAGGTCCGTGTTTGTAAATTTCCTTACGTCCTCGCCTTAGATTATGCCAATTAATTCTTATACCGTTTATAATAATTCATTAGGATCAAACTAACTCTGAGTCGGGTTAAGCTGATGTACTCAGTGGAGAGCCTACAATTACATTTTGGTACATCCTTTACCCATTCTTAGTTGGTGTTCAAAACCCATTTGCTTAATTCAATTTGGATATGTTTTCCAAATTAATTGTTATGCTTCTGTTACAGTTTCCGTTCTATCAACGTGATAGAGAATGAGGGATCGATTGTGAATGGAAGATGGGTTTTCATGATGGGAGAGTTGTTGCTTCCACACTTTTGGCAATGGCTTCATCCGATTTGTTTAGTTAGCGGTGTATGCTCCATTTCTGTTTGTGGTGAAGAGGAGGCACAATGAAGCTTTAGGCCAATCTGTAGTCGGGCATTTAATCCTCTTTCTCTAATAACCTTTCCGTTCTTTTTGTTTCATTTCATAGTCTTCTCTATTTTTACCTGTGTTTGGTTTTGATTGCTCTTCAAAGAGATAAGTGATAAAAGAATTTGGGTTTCAGCGAATAAGGAAACCATAGCAGAGAAAGCCTGTGACTAGAATCGAAGTGGGAAACTCGCAGCTAGTGTTTCTTTAACCATCTACGACACCTTCCAAGAAGTTTGATGGTTTTAGTCTCGCACGCCAAAGACTTGAAGCCGCCGAAACCGAGGTATACTTCATTCATTCAGGTATATCTTATGTTGAAAGCGATTATTAACTGTGAATACCAGAATTCAAGCACAAATTCCTCTTGCCGATGAATTCTGGGCAGGTTTTCCATTTACTCTATTTTATTCTTCTCATTCATGTTATTTCTATTCACTCAAGTTTACCGAAGGAACCAATTCAAGTTCCTTTCCCCATAGAATCACAACTCATTTTATCAAATCTGTGATTCATGTTCCGATGAGTAACTACACATTTGAATACTTTCCCAACTGGCTTTCGTTTCAGGTGTTGACAACTGAGCTCGTCTTGGCTGAACCAAATAGAAAACTCGAGGGTCTTCAGCCATCAAAGAAAACCAAATAGCAAGAGTTTTGTTTTGGTGTTGGGTAATTCAATCCAGGGTGAAGACTTTGGTCTCCAGCTGATAAGCCTTGGTGAAAAAAGCAGGCCAACAAAAATAAGTGGACAAGATGCTGCTGACAGTTGAAGCTCCGATGAGCATATTCATGACCACAATTTGCAGCTGAATGGCCTCCAATGGTGAAGCTCCTCCCATAATAAGCCCGGTCATGGCTCCTGGCAGTGAAATCAGGCCCACCGTCTTGGCGTTGTCAAGAACTGGCGAAAGTGCGATCACCAGAGCCCTTTTCACCTGCTCAGCTGTGGCCTGGCGCGGCGTCGCTCCCAGCGCCAACGCTGTTTCAACCTAATGAAACAGGGGAGACGTCATCGGTCGGAAAACATGGGGAGCGATTCGAATATGGGGTTACTCCAGATTAATTACCAGGACCGTTTGCACTTTGATGTCGTCACGGAGCCTTTTCATGGTAACCCCGGTGACAGTCATGGCGTTCCCGACCATCATCCCGGCAACCGGGATTATATAGCGGGGAGTGAAGGGGAACACGTTGAGCACCACTAGCAGAGACATGGTCGCCGCAGTTCCGACCAGGATGGAAGCTCCGGCGACGTATTTCCCGCCGGGGACATGTTTTGCACGTTGCCCCGCCGTGTACCCTGCCACCGTCACCTAACCAAATAAGGGGAATTGAGATCAGAATCCTACCTAATTGAAGGAATACTCTAAAGTAAAGATGGTAAATTGGATCAGAGGAAAAAATACCATGAAGAGGTAAGCGAGAAGGATCCAGATGACATTTTGTTGAGTGAAAATGAATTCCAGAACAAATCCAATAATGGATAGCTGAAGGAACGCCCTGAAGATGGAGTAAGCCATCTCCCATTCCAGGCCGAGCTTTTGGAAGTAGGACAAGCCGATCGCCATTAGAACCACGGCGGTGGCGGCCAGTGGCTTGATCATCCCGTCTCCGAATTCTACCAGCCACTCCCACTCCATCTCCATAGTATGCTCCCCTTCGTCGGCTGAAACCCCAAAAGAAAAGGATACAGAAGGTGAGATCTCTCCAAACTAAAGTGTCAGAGAGGTAAAATTTTCTTTCTTTTTGTTTGTCTTCTTTTCTGGGTGGAGATTCTGTCGAAAAGACACCTTCCCCTGGTGGGCTATGGATAGAAAGTGGAATATCTGGTGGCGTTACTATGTGGGGAATTTTTCTGAGAATTATTGAATTGGGCAAAGAATAATTGTTGAAAAAAAAGAAAAGCATGAGCTGAGCAAGGAGAGAAAGGCGACAATTGTGTGGTCTGTCAAGCCAGGCTAGATCTGAGTCTTTTTTTGTTTTGTTTTTTTTGTGATTCCTTCACCGACGGTGGTACGTTCTTCCCTCCTCGACGGGAAGTGATTGTGAGGTCTGGATCCATGCTTCTTTCTCTGTAATTCTCTATTTCTACGAATCTCTCTTTGTTTGTCTGTTTCTTTAGTGAATCGATTCCAGATTATTTCCTCTTTCTTCTGTGGTTTTGTTAGGCGGAACATAAAAAATATTTTGTTCACTGGATTAGGGTGTAGATCCACGTTGGAGAGGACTGCAGTGGATGGCGACAAGATTCTTGATTGAGGGGAACCAGGTTTGCAAATCCCATCGTTACAAGGTGAGATATTGGTCTTCTCTCTCTCTCTCTCCCGTTCCGGCTCTGTAATCTTTCTTTACTTCAGTTCCTGGCCTAAACGTTTTCCTCTCTAACGTCGATCTCATTTTAACTTCAGGGATGTCTTTTTGTTGGTCGGCCGGAATCTCAGTGAAAAGCAGCAGGACCAGGAGAGGGTTAGGTTGGGAGAAGAGTTTCGCAAGGGGACTAGATACTATAACAACACCCCTTGTGTTGTTATTGTAACAACACTAGCCTCCAACCATTAGGAAGCTAGGATTGTGATGACTTTTTATTAGATGAGTTGACCTAGTGTAAAATCAAAGCAGGGGTATAATTGTCATTATGAAAAATCTGTATAAATAATTAAAAAAATAAAAAAATAAAAAAGTAAAAAAATATTTTTTTATTTTCTGCCCAAAAATTTGGTCGTCGGAATTCGGTCACCGGTCGCCGGAATTTGGTCGCCGGTCACCGGAATATGCTTTTTTGTCGCCGGAATATGCTATTTTGTCATCGGAATATGCTCACCGTCGCCGGAATATGCTTACCGGCGTCGGAATATGCTTACCGGCATCGGAATCTAGTCATCGGGGCCGGAATATGCCTACCGGCGCCGGAATCCGGTCACTGACGGTCATCGGAGTTTGGTCAACGAACTTCGTTGACCGGTCAACGGTCTTCGTTGACCGGGTCAACGGTCAACGAAGACCGGATGTATGGTCTACATTGTGAGATTTATGGTTTGGTTTCTCATATTTTCGTATGCCTTTTGTGGTTTGCTTTATAGTGTTTGTGGTTTGCATTGAGAAGTTTCTGGTTTGCTTTATCGTGTTTGTGGTTTGCATTGAGAAGTTTCTGGTTTGCTTTCAAAAACTTTGTGGTTTGCATTGTGAGGTTTTTGGTTTGTTTTAATATATTTGTGGTTTGCATTAGGACGTTTATGGATTGTTTTTGTGGTTTGATTTACTGTGTTTGTGGTTTGCATTAGGAGGTTTCTGGTGTGCTTCGCAAATATTGTGGTTTGCTTTGTGAGGTTTGTGGTTTGTTTTAGGAGATTTGTGGTATGCATTCGGAGGTTTCTGGTTTGCTTTTTTGTGTTTCTGGTGTGTTTTCGAATTTTTTGTGGTTTGCTTTGCGAGGTTTCTGGTGTGCTTTCGAAAATTTTGTGGTTTGCTTTGTGAGGTTTCTGGTTTGTTTTAATAGATTTTTTGTCTGCATTAGGACGTTTCTGGTTTGCATTAAGAAGTTTCTGGTGTGCTTTCGAAACTTTTGTGGTTTGCTTTGCGAGATTTTTGGTTTGTTTTAATATATTTATGGTCTGCATTAGGACGTTTTTTGTTTGCTTTACCGTGTTTGTGGTTTGCATTAGGGGGTTTCTGGTGTGCTTTTCAAAATATTTATGGTTTGCTTTGTAAGGTTTCTGATATGTTTTAGCAAATTTGTGGCTTGCATTAGGAGGTTTCCGGTATATTTTCTTGAGACACCCTGCACGAAACAAACCAGACCAAAAGAGAAAGAACATCAGGTTCTCCTAGCACCAAAATGCAAACTCCCATTGTTCCAAGATAACAAAAAATGCTAAACAGAAAAGTAGTTGCATGACAAAATCAGACATATATTCGAGAAATGCAAGTGAATTTCAGCAAGCGATAGCACAACTCTACATGCCTTCCCGCCCAAGATGTAGCCTACAACATAATGGAACTTTCACAAACTTAATAAACTAACTTGATCCACCGCCAAAACAACCGCATTCAGACTTCCGTATCCGACGAACTCATCTCGATTATCGAGGAAGCCAATCCGTTGGATCATCGGCAGAGAATCACGAGGGAATTGGTAACTCCTCTTCCTCCTACACTACTATTCTTCCTCTCTAACTAAATTAAAGGGAATGGTCTGGTCCTAAAGGCTAATTAAAGCAGCAGGACAGGCAAGGCCGCAAGGTAACGACTACACACCATATATACAGAGAGAGAGCGCTTCAAACCGACCAAATAAGAAAGAAAGCAGCAGAACAGAAGAGAACAGAACTAGAGAGAAGATCGAAATGACATAATTGAGGGAGGAGACAAGAACCCAAGCCAGGCGCAAAGCCAAAATGCCTCTCTTCACTCTTTTTTGACCGCACCGGCCGCTTTCAATTCCCCATCTTCCCTCTTCTCCATCTCCAGCCACAAGATTGATGACTCCGCACCGGACGAAAACAAGGCCATTGCTAAAGTCGCCAGGGTTCAACTACCAGTTGAGAGCCTCGATTCGCCTGTAAGATTTGAGGAGGCTCCCTTTTTCAGAGCAACATGCATTGTCGCCGTTGAGATAGCGATGATGACGAATCTGCTCAGCTCCCTCGCGATCCAAATCCTCTCGCTCTGCACCTTGCGAAAAAGCTCCTTTCGTCGTCGGCTTCAATCTGCAGCAGCAGCAGACGCCGAAAATCTCCCCGCCGGTTTCCGATATCGCAACTGCTTCATCTGCGCACACTCTATTCCATCCATTTTCGTCGATCGAGTCTCGTCGGCACAATCATCGTCGATTCCACAACCTCAGAAATGAATCCAAGGGGAGACGAAATCGAATCAACTAGAGGAGATCCGACGATAAGCGCGCCTTCGATGGATTGGCGTCGGCGTCGACGGCGGAAGGAGGAGAAACGACTTGGATGGAGGGGATTGAGGGGTGGCGGACAAGATTGCTTGGTCGAAGTTCGGATCGGCGCTGGCGCTAGCGCCGGTGAAGTCACATTGGGAGGGACGGAAGAAAGTCAGATGCAAGTGGGAAGGAACGGCGGAGAAGAAGGGTTTCAGATAATTAATTTAAATTTAATTTTTTTATTTATTGTTAATTTACCCTTTTACCCTTAATGAATCCTATTGTTATTATAACAACAAAAAGAGTGTTGTTATACTATCCGGACCCTTTCGCAAGGTGAGAGACGACCTGAAAGTTCAGCTTCTGGTCCTTCTCCCAGTCTTCTGCTCAAGGAATTGTCCAATAGGAAGAAGAGGTGTTGGAGATGGATTCTTTTTAATATGGTAACATGATAGAAGCGTGATGATGAGAAGAGAATTTGGACAGGGAATTAGGGATTGAAGAGAAAAGAATTAGGGGTCGTTTGGATCAAGAATTTAGTTAAATAGAGATTTGTCCCACAATCACTCAATTAAAATACCTAGTATTTTAAACCCCGATTTTGTGTTAAATATGTTGTTTGTTTAAGAATGGGGATTTATTAGTTAGGAAATTTAATTATGAAAGCAATAGTGAAAATTACAGTCATACCCTTCACACTTTCCTCGCCATTACGCCCCAACCTTCCAACCAATCCCTTCTGCCGCGGCCCAATCCTGACCCCGGGGCTCCACGCCGCCGACCTCCGCCGGATCTTCCACCAGCTCGACCGCAACGGCGACGGCCTCCTCAGCATCGACGAGCTCGGCTGGCTCCTCGACCGGATCGGATCATCGTCCCTCCACTTCACCAGCGACGAGCTCGAGTCCTCCGTCGGAAAATCCACCCTCGACTTCGACGATTTCCTCGCCTTCTACCGCTCCATCGACGGCAGCGACAGCGGGGAGTCGGGGGCTTCCGTGGTGGCGGCGGTGGAGAGGGATTTGGAAGAGGCGTTCAGAGTGTTCGACTTAAACGGCGATGGATTCATAACGTAGAATTGGATGGCGGTGTGGGCAGAGAGCCTGACCCGGCGGTCTCTGGGACCTTTGGCGGTGTAGACCTTGCTGTGGCTTCCTCTCCAGTCTCCGTCGTGGGCGGTCGATTAGGGTCCAATCGAAGCCCCCCCATTCTTGACGATCGATTCTAGATCTGAATTCTTCGCTGACTGGTGCAGGGGAAGAAGAGCAGAGTGCGGCGGAAGAAGAACAGAAAGGAGATGTGGCGTGGCGGGGCGGGGCGGCGGTGGAGGAGGATGCGGTGGTGGTCGGAGAGCTTGCGTCATCTTCTCCGATCTCCTTCTCTCTCGCGGCCAACTCTGGGGAGATTGCTCTGGGCACTGCGCAGCCACGCAGGGATACGCTGGGAAGAAACAAAAAAATTAGGGCAGAATTTTAAAATACTTGGGGTATAGCAGATATTTCTAATTTCCGAGTGGGCCGGATTTAGAAATCTCGGTGGCCCAAATCTCTATCATTTTTATTGCTATCCAAACGAGAAAATTTGTTAAATTCCTGGGTGGGCCAGAATTTGGGCCAAATCCCTATCCACTTTTCTGAATCCAAACGACCCCCTAGGGATTTGAGAGAATTGAGTGAGAACAGGAGAAGGACAGAATTAAAGATTTCTGATATTCTATTGCTTAATTTCCAAATGACTGTATAGAACCCCTTTTATGAGTTCAATGGAAAATAACAAAATAGACACTCCTACCCGGCCCCAATGGGTCGGCCGACCCATCCTCACCCACTCACCCTCGGTTTCTATCATCCCCTTCCCCATCGGAAACGACCTTGTCCTCAAGGTCGAATATCGAAAACCGCTGCTGAAGAGTTGTCGTCTCCACCCAAGTGGCGTCCTCCCTCTCCATGTGCTGCCACAAGACCAAGTTTTCCTCGATCAATTGTCCTCCCTTCTTTACCCACCTGGTATCCAACACCTGCAAGGGAATCAGCTCGAGGTCCCCGTCTGTCGACATTGGTGGGGCAGTCGTTGCCACCCGATCCGCCGCGCCACGATACCTCTTCAGTAAGGACACGTGGAAGGTAGAGTGAATGCGCGCGTCTACTGGCATCTGAAGGCGATAGGCCACCAGAGTACCTCATATGGCCCAAAGTATCACGCCGCCAGCTTCTGATATGCCCTCCGGAATACAGAAGCCTGCCTGTAGGGATGCAGACGGAGCAGAACCCAGTCACCTACCTCAAACTCTTCCTCGCGTCGTCCCGCGCGCCCAACCATCGGTCCACCGCGTCCACTGGACTGGAGCCCCCCCCCCCCGATAGCGTACCAAAGAAGGCGGGGGACGCCCATACAGAGCCTCAAAAGGTGTCATCTGGATCACCCTATGGTAAATAGAGTTATACCATAGCTCGGCCCATGGTAATAAGGCTAACCACCGTCGCGGCTGCTGATGGGTAAAACAACGCAAGTACTGCTCAAATAGCGGTTAACCACCTCTGTCTGGCCATCAGTCTGCGGGTGGTATGCTGAACTCATCCGCAACGTGGTCCGTGCCAAAGCAAACACCTCCTGCCAGAAGCGACTCAAGAAAACGGAGTCCCGGTCACTGACAATGGACCTCGAAAATCCGTGGTGACGCACCACCCCTAGTACAAATTGCTCAGCCACTGATCTCGCGGTATACGGGTGTGCCAAAACCATGAAATGTGTGTACTTTCTAAGTCGATCCACGACGAAAAACAGGACCGTCTTCCCTCTGGATGGAGGCAGCCCGGCAATGAAATCCATATTGATGTCCTCCCACGCCCTCTCAGGCACAGGTAGTGGCTGCAGGAGACCCGCCGGCCGCAAATGGGATGCCTCGACTCTCTGGCAGGTGTCACAAGATGCGACATAGTCCTTCACATCCCGGCCCATCTGGGGCCAATAAAACTGTGCCCGGATCATCCGCAGTGTCCGCTCTACCCCTGAATGCCCTCCAAACGGAGAGTCATGGAACTCATGTAACACTATCGTCACCAAGGACGACCCCCGGGGAAGCACCACGCGCCCGCGGAAGAACACCAGCCCCTGCCGAAAGGAGTAGTGGCCGAGATCTTCGTTAACTGCTGTATCCCGCCACCCCTGCAGATATGCATCAATCTCAATGAGATTTCTCAGAGCGTCCCAGAAATGGGGAACTGGCCCCGTGATTGCCGCCAGAACCTCACCCCCGGGTTGCCTCGATAGTCCATCCGCCACGACATTAGATGGACCGGGTCAGTAGTGAATCTCATAATCATACCCCAGGAGCTTGGAGACCCACTTGTGCTGATCGGGAGTGGAAATTCGCTGCTCCAACATACTCCTCAAGATCTGGTGGTCTGTGTAAATGTGGAATTTTTGGCCCAGAAGATATGGCCGCCACATCTGAACTGCCGTGATGATAGCCTGCATCTCCTTCTGGTAGGTGGACCAAGCTTCCTTAGATGGCGTCAGGGTCTTACTCATGAAGGCCACCGGGTGCCTATCCTGTGATAACACTGCCCCAATGCCCCTGGCATATGCGTATGCCTCAATCACAAAGGTCCGAGAGAAATCCGGCATCACCAGAGTCGGGGTGGTAGTCATGGCCCGCTTCAGCTGGCAGAATGCGGCGTCGGCCTCTGAGTTCCAGGTGAACCCGCCCTTCTTCAACAAATTAGTCAAAGGTCGGGCAATCACGTTGTAGCCCGGCACAAACTTCCGGTAATAACCTGTCAAACCCAACAATCCCCGTAGTATAGTGATAGTTGTCGGGGTTGGCCACTCCACCATGGCATGAATCTTCTTCTGATCCACCTGTACCCCCTGCGGCGTGACAATGTGACCCAAATACTCCACCTTCTGGACCCCAAAGGCACATTTGGAAGCCTTGAGGTAGTACTGGTGCTGCTGCAAAATCTCAAACACAGCCTGCAAATGCTGCAAATGGGCCTCCCATGTCGGGCTATAAATGAGGATGTCATCAAAGAAAACCAGGACGTACCGACGGAGTAGGGGCCGGAAGATGTCGTTCATAGCCGCCTGGAAGGTCGAAGGAGCATTGCACAACCCGAACGGCATTACCAGGTACTCATAATGATCGTTGTGGGTCCGGAAGGCTGTCTTGTGCGCGTCCTCCTCACTCATCCGGATCTTGTGGTAGCCGACCCTCAAGTCGAGCTTAGTGAAATAGAAAGACCCGTGCAGCTCGTCAAGCATGTCAACCACCGTCGGGATCGGGAAACAGTCCTTCACCGTCGTGGCATTGAGGGCCTGGTAGTCAGTGCGGAACCTCCAGGTCACATCCTTCTTCTTAACCAAAAGCACTGGTGAAGAAAAAGGACTAGTGTTGGCCAGAATCAGCCCGGTGGTCAGCATCTCGGTAACCTGGCGCTCAATCTCCTCCTTCTGCGAATGACCGTACCTGTAGGTCGAACATTAACAACCTCCACCCCATCCTTCAACTGGATACCATGATCCACCTGGCAATGTGGCAGAAGAGTGGTCGGCGCCTGGAAGATCACGGCGAACCTGTCAAGGACCTGCTGCAGATCCGGAGCCACTCTCTACGTCTCACTGGTCTCCACTAGCCAACACAGCACGGCGAAGTCCGCCTCGCCCATCTCAGCGCCATCATGGATGGATATGGTCCCCAGAGCAGTAGTAAGCCCCTGTAACCTCCACTCCTTGTCCCTCCATTTAAACCTCATGGTCAGGCTCTTCCAATTCGTGGTAGTCGGGCCTAAGCTCTGGAGCCAGGGGATGCTCGGAATAATATCAAACCCCCTGATGTGCAGCATAAAGAAATCGGCAGTCACAGGCAAGCTTTGAATCTCCAGAGCGAGCCCGCGATAGGCTGCGTTACACTGCAAAGGCGCACCATTCGCAACTCGAACCACCACTTTCTCCACTGTGCTCGCCGTCAACGGTAGGGCCTTGGCAAGCTCTGCACTGATGAACTTGAGTGATGCGCTACTATCCACCAATGTCAACGCAGTCATCTCTCCCACTTTGGCCTGAAATCGGAGCGTGCCCGGGGTAGGCAGCCCGGTCGCCGAGTTTAGAGAGAGAGACACGACATCGTCGCCCCCCTGCCCATGGTCGCTGCCGCCGACCTGGAAGAACGGTGCCTCGCCATCGACGAGCACCGCCGCGGCGCTCGTGCCCTCCGCCCCGCGCGGGACTCACTGGCCGCCTACACTGCCAGCGCGCGCCTCGCGCCCTCAGCCGCCAGCTCGCGCCTCGTGCGCTCAGCCTCCAGCTCGGGCTCCACCCCGCCCTCACGCCGTGTCGAGGCCGACGAAACGACGGCCGATGCGGACGAATCGCCCGCCTCCTCCGCCGCTGCTACTGTCCACCCGCGGTCCCGAGCCTCGCGCTGGAGCTCGGATAACGTGAAGTCGATCTGCTGCCTTCTACGAGCCCATGCTGAATCATTGTGTTTCGAAGAACTCATGTTGGCTCTGATACCAATTGATAGAAGCGTGATGATGAGAAGAGAATTTGGATTGGGAATTAGGGATTGAAGAGAAGAGAATTAGGGATTTGAGAGAATTGATAGAGAACAGGGGAAAGACAGAATTAGGAATTTCTGATATTCTATTGCTTAATTCCCAAATGAGTGTACAGAATCCCTTTTATGAGTTCAATGGAAAATAACAAAATAGCCACTCCTACCCGGCCCCAATGGGTCGGCCGACCTATCCTCACCCACTCACCCTCGGTTTCTATCATAACACCACTTCGAGAAGATCACTCACTGAAGAGGTTTAGCTACGGCGTCATTACTGCCACGGTGCCACCATGTTTGCTTACCATTCTGATTATTACTCGGTTGGGTTTACTTCCTTAGTTCCTTTCCTTGCTGAGTATGTTCTTAGGTCACCTAATTTGTGTCCAGTGCCTCGCCGCTCCCGCGCCAGATCGCTAAAACGCGAATTCCTTTCAAAACGTCCAAAAATCAGGAATTTTTTTCCCCACCGGAGTGCAAATTTTGGAATTAAGAGCACGGATTACTAGTGCTAGAGGTAGA